GGGGGGGAGATCAGGACTGGCGATGACGTACACTTTGTGCAGTCCGATGCACGTGTTAAAAGGATTTGGTGCAGTGGAGGGGGGGTCTCGGGTTCTGCCATCCCCGAAGCGGAGCCTGCGAGACTGGGCCGAGGATGTCAACGCTCTCTTCACGGAGCTGTACCCATCGGACGCCTGGTTGCATGAGATATCTTGCAATCCCTTCGACGGAGTCACGAGAACGCGGAAAAATGACGATGGAGTGTTCACACCCAGCAACCAAACAGAGCGGGAAAAAAGCACACGCTACCGCTTGCTCAATATCTTGACAAGGTGCTTCTCGCACATCAGCAGAGCATGTTGGTCCTGCTGCATGAGAGGCAATGAACAATTCTTAGAGCGATTTTGTTAAAAAAATTGTGTGAAAAATGACAAAGAACAAAAAATATTACAAAAACGAAAGTTGTCACGAGGAGGGGAATTTCGAATCGGCCGAGTCATCTTCGGGCAGGTCGAATGTGGCGCAGTGAATGAGGCCGTCCGCGCCGGTCGTGACGACGGTGGACGCATTGAGCCAAGCGAGGCTGTGAATAAGTCCACCGTGGGGAGTATCGCATTGACCGACGATGCGCCGTGACCGCGCGTCCACGACGAAAAGTGTACTGGCGGCAATGCAAGCGAGGAACACTTCCGACGCCGCCTGCAGTTGGACATGTGGAATCCAAACTCCAGGGAGAACTTGTACGGATCTACCGTCCCTTCCAATCCCGTCGACGTTGTAGATTCGCAGCGTGCCGTCCCTGGCCGATGCGACTACTTGATGGAGACGAGGGAGGACTGTGAGTGTGTACAAAGGCGGCCCAACCACGATACAACGGCGGGAAGCGAGAGTGGCGGCATCGTACGACTGGATGGTACCGTCGTTGGACGCAGAGAGAACAGTTCCCTGACATATCGCCAGCGCCTGGACTGTCTTGGAATGAAGTCGAAAGGACGCCAGCACTACGGCGGAAGTCGACGAACCAGAGCATGGCGTGGGAACGCGCCAGACAGATACGATTGCATCGGCACCGCCGCTCCAGATCGCCGTGGAGGTCATGAGCATGCACGAGATTCGACTGGTATGCACGGCGAGGACAGCGAGACAGAGCCCAACATCGCACTGCCACACACGAAGCGTAAAGTCTTCGGACCCCGACACAGCCATATTGCCTGAAGTCGGGACGAACGCGACTTGAGTAACGCGACCTGCATGGCCGCTTAAACGCCGGTGCAGACGGAAGTCTTCGGTCGCGCGCCATATTCCGACGGTGGAGTCATGAGAGCCTGACACGAGGAAAGTCACGTTCAAAGCGACGGTGCAGACGACATCCGTGTGACCCTTTAGGATGTTGTAGCAGTGGAAAGACCGTCGGGACCACACGCGAATGGTGGCATCCATGGACGCAGACACCATGTATCGGTCGTCAGATGCGAGTAGTGCGCAGACGCCGGCTGTGTGTCCGTAGAGCACACGAGTGGACGTGGGGGACGGCGCAGGTTGCGGCGGTGCAGCCGGGGGAATCGGTTGAAGGTGGAGAACGGGTGTCTCGACGACGAAAGTGGATGGTGCCGATGGAGCAGCGTGGGCAGCAGCGTTCTGGTTCGTAGGTGATGCATGAGATGTAATGCTTTCCTTTCCTTGTGGGAAGCGATGGAGGGGTCGCTTGACGTTCTTGTCACGTGGGGACACTGGCGTCGGCTTGTTCCACCTCAGCGGGTTCACTCCGAACCACATCCCGCGGCCATGACAGTTACGTCCGTCGAGGAAACGTCTTCTTCACAGCATCTCGGGAAGCGCCGTCTTGGCGGCGACTTCGTTGGATTCGTCGGGGGTGTCCCATCGGCGCAAGATGCGATCGTCGAAGAGTCCTGCATTGCGCTGGAGCAAATTCTCTCGGCATCGCCGACGCGTTTAAACACACGTGTATGGCGTTGAAGAAAGGAAACTTTCGTTAAACGTAGGTTTTACTTCGGTCCAAAGACGCTTTTTATGTAAAAACACGTCGATTTCCGACATGCACAGTTTGCGTCGACCGTAGCGATGGCGACGAGGTCGTTGGCAACGGGCCAGCCTCACTTCTGCGCCTCGTGCGGCAAGTTCGGCGCGTCCATGTCGATTACGCGCTCAGGCCTTCTCTTCTTTTGCTCCAAGGAATGCCTGCAGCGTCGCCATCGACGGGCCCACGGCGCGACCATGATCGGCGGGCTCCATCCTAGTACGACAACTTTTTCTTTCTACGTGTCTCATGCTCGCTTCTAGTCTGCGAAGTGGAGTCCCCACGACCCCGCACGAGTACGTCGTCGTGCGAGCTGTGTTGTCTCGGCCGGGGTGGCACCCGGCTCGAAGTTTCATCCGCGGAAGACACGTCGTCGATCGTGTCGACGTGTGCGTGCGGCAACCTTGTCGGGTTTTGGGTCTAATGCAGCGATAAATTATAACTTATGACACAAATTCGGGTTGGTTTTCTACTGCAAGGCGGCGGCGTTGTCGCGGAGGTGTTGCAAGATCAAGTCGACGGCCGAGCTGAGGTACGGCGGCAACCAGTCGTCGTCTTCGCTGGACAAATCGTCCAATTCTTGAAGACTCGCTTGACTTTCACGATGATACAAGCACTGATGCCGATGGGTGCGGCTGTGGAAGATGAGGCAGTCTCTCGAGCAGTAGTACGCGTGGCCGCAATTGCCGTGGCACGGAATGGCATTCCGCGCGGCCTTGCCGCAGTGCTCGCAGTCGTAGATGTGGAAAGCAGCCTTGAGCTGCTGGAAGAGGTCATCGTCGTCATCATCCTCGCGACTCATGCAGCGGTGACGTTGTGTAGCCATGGCACGTTGGAAAGTGAGCCATTACCACCATGGCCGTCGGCGGGTGATGGTATGTGTGGTGAATTTTCAGAGGATAGACGCGCGACATCATCGAGCGACCCGACCGGATATCCGGATCTGCTGAAATGTATGGCAAGTGCCACGGTGGGACAGTCCGGATGGGCCAATTTTCCCATCTTTTCGTGGCAAATGCGACAACCGCACCCGCACCCATACGAAAACATATATAAAAAGTTGGGGACGGTCGATGCTGTCGTACCAAAGCGCCAACGGCAGGCAAGGCAGCAGCAACCCACTCGAGTCCAGTGCCAGGAGGCGCGACACAACCAACGCTGCTGCCCCTGGCCTCGTCTTGATGCGCCGCCGCCCTTGGGATGTGTTTCGATGCGCCAGTGCTCGTTTCTGCACGTGAGGGAAGGAGGTCGGACACAAAGATCAATTCGTGTTATGCGTCGTCGCTGCCTTCTTCTTCTTGAACAACGGATTCAGTCGCGCGCGAATGGCGTGGTTTGTGGTCTTTGACTTGGCGACGGCGTACGGAGCATCGATGGTCTCTAGCAAGCGGTCGTACAACGCCATTCCCTTTGGACGCTTCTCGGAACGATGGCCCCATTCAATCACAAGGTTCACGGGGTGACCTTTCTCGAGGAATCCAGTGACGCGCCTCGTCTTGACTCCTTCATCATGTGCTTCAATGTCTACCTTGTACACCATATCCTTGTCTCCCTTCATCTTCCGCTCTGGCTCGTCCGCCGTCGGTTTGGGTTCGCTATGGATGCGCTTGCGGAAGTCATACATCTTGCAGATCACGCGCGGGTGTCCGTTCGGTTTCTCCGACGGCTGCAGACTCACTTGGACCAGATCGAAGCCGAGGGATCGAGCTTCCCGCACGGCAGAGCGCTTTTCCACATTCTCACGGACCGTGCCGTCCTCCATGACGATGGTCACACTGTGAGCACGGATTTCTTCGTTGAGCGGGACTTTCTTCGAGCGCTGTTGGCTCATGAACCGAATGGAAGAGTGCAAGGAACACGGATGGTTTTCCATTTTGATGGCCGAACATGGCTGAATAAGCGCCGACCGCGGGGCCGATCGCACCGTGCTCGCCACTCGAACCACTCGGCTCCACATGTGGCCCAAATCGCAGTGCCGAAGAACGATTCCAGTCACAGTTTTCGATATATTCCTGAATTTTGTATGATTTTGAACGAATCCGATTCCATTTTCCTCAAATCATTTTCGAGAAATGTGCAAAATTTGGCGAATAATTACCTCTAAAATCCCATGACGAAATCGAGCGGCTGCAACGCTGCCCTCATTTGCGATATCGCATGGACGTGTGGAGCGAAGTCGAAAAGAACATGAAGTGGATTGCGTTGGCTGCCGTGGTGCTTTTCGCCATCTTTAGCATGGTGTCGTCGTGGGGCGGCGGCGGTGGCGTGTCGGCCAGCGCCAGCCACATCTTGGTGAGCACGGAAGACGAGGTCGACGACTTGTTGGCGCAATTGCACAAAACCGCGGATGGGTCGGAAGCGCAGTTGAAGCTGTTTGCGGAACTGGCCAAGGCGCACAGCAAGTGCCCCAGTGGATCTCGCGGTGGTGGTGCGTTGGGCAGCTTCGGCCGGGGCCAAATGGTGCCTGAATTCGACAAGGTTGTGTTCGAAGAAGCGGTGGGAAAGATCCACAAGGTCAAGACCCAGTTCGGGTGGCACTTGGTCCTCACGACCCAACGCACTGACCCGAACGAAAAAGCACCCGACGCCGCGGAAGAAGAGGACAAGAAGGACTTGTAATCTCGTGAATCCATTTACGCATTCACCATTTCAAGTAACCAGGCATGCGCTGGGTACAGCTCCGTGAAGAGAACGCTAACATACTCGTCCAGGTCACGTAGACTCCGCTTCGGATCTTGGCAGAATCCGAGACTCCACTGCACCACTTCCTTTCGCTCGGTCATGCTCTCCATCGTTTTGATCAGCTTCCATGTCTTCCTCGACACTTCGAGCGGCATGCCAAAGTCCAGACGCAGCGCCGCGCTCTTTCGGGAGTTCACCCGCATAAATAAACTCAGTGCTAGCATCGCAACATGCAAATCCGGCGAGTGCTTCAACCTGCATCCATCGTGTCATCTCTCTGCTCGCACACGCCCAATACACTCACTTTCCAAACGAGTTCATAAAGGTGAACCCGATGGCACGCTGCACTGCGTCCAGTCCATTCGACAACTGCCGCGCATCGCCCATGCTCCAGCATGCCTTGCTCATCTACAGAAGCACACATGAGGACGTCACGAAGCTCCCCACAACGTACCCGAGCTACCATGTCCCGCTTGAATGTCACGGCGACCCCTGGCATCGCCACAAGTCGCTTCAATAGAGCGATCACAACCCCCACGAGCTTGGCTTCATCCGCAATCGCCGGCGCCGTCGCAATTTCTTCGACCCACTCGTTCATTCGCATCGAGTACTGCAAGTGGCGCTGGACGTCTCCGTTCTCGTCAATGCGGTGTTGCTTGGCAAATGCGAGCAGCGTGAGCCAGCACTGCTGCTTCAATGCCATGTGCACCAGTTCGTCCTGGCTGAGCTCGGGCAGCTTCAAATCTGGCCACGTGCTCATCTTCCACGTATCCAGGTTGTGTTCCGTCAGCTGAGTGAGCACCGAGACGGACGCGACGGACGTGCAGATCGCCGCAACGCTCTTGGACAGTCCTGCAAACTGCCACACGAGCTGCCACCCCGCAGCGCTCCACATCGTGCACTTTTCCAACGACAGCATCGTGCATTCCTGGGACGATGGTGGAATCACGACGGTGACCTTGGCTTCCAGCTCCATCCAGCTGCACACGTCCAAGGGGGTTGATGCGGCCTGGGAGATGAAGGGCAAGTTGCACAGCTTGAAGATGTCGCAGTACAGTGCCAAGATATGGTCAGACTTGAATGTTGCGTGGAGAGTGTCGAGTTGGGCATGAAGGAGGGTGAGGAGATCGTAGACCGCGTGAAGGCTGGCTTGGACGAGCCCCAGCAAGGTGGACTCGAACATGGAAAAGTTCTGCTTCCACTCGGGTGACGCTGGGTGGAGAAAGACACTGAGGCAGTGGAGGACGACGCTCGCCTTCTTGAGCTCGTCCCCAGCGACTGCAGTCAGTTCGAGGCCGCACAAGCTCAGGACGAGTCGAAACGCCGCGTAGAAACGAGGGGTTGCATCGTTGCGCGGCGCGACACATAGGATGGACGGATGAAGGACCAGCGCCGACATCCCGTTGCAGATGGCTTCAACTTCCGCCGCCTTGATCGATCGAGGGTGGGGCTGGCATTGCTTGAACGTTGTCGAGAGTTGCTGCGGCGATTGCTCGAGCAACAGCACATGGCACAGCAACACGTGGTACTTGATGTAAAACGACGACGTAACATGGGGCGGTTGCGTCGCCAGGTACTCGTCTGTGATGCGGTGCCACGGCACTTGATCGAGGACGTCTCGGACGACGAGCAGCACGTTCGCTCGAATGGATGGCTGGTACTTGAAGCTCACGCTCGATTTGTGCACGACGTGGGTATGACTCGTCACGCACTCCTTCATTTCATTCAGGGTGACTTCTGTAATGGCCCAGTTCGTCCATGGCAAACGGCTCAGCACGTCGTAGTACGATCCTGCAACGGCATCGGAAGCGTGGGGAAGGAGCACGCCGCGGTAAAACTGCCAAATGTTGTCGAGGCGTTCGCGGTCGCATGGTGGCGAATGCTCCAGGTACATGGTCAAAGCAGCTTGGAGAGCATTGCACACGATTTGGTCCGCTGCGAGCTCAGTGGGCGGCCATGGACCCACAATGGTCGTGCCGTCGGCTGTAGAGCCGGGGGTGTACAGCACCTATGACTTTTACGATCAGGCGCAGCGTCGGCAATTTCAACTCACAGTCAAGAACGCTTGGAAGAGCTTGGTGGCGGCAAGCCACAGCGAGTCAGCGGTCGTCTGGGCCTTCAACCATAGCAGCATGAGGTCGCACATGGGTCGCAGGATCGCGTTGGGGCTGTGCCAGAGCAGAATCGGGTACATGGCGTCGATCGTCTGTGCGACCAACGCCGACGTGTCCTTTGGTTTCCCACTCGACACGGCTTGGGCCTTGATTCGGGCGTGCAACACAAACTGTGCCATGCGCTCGACGAGTTGCGGGACAACGGCGCAGTTGCTCCAGCAACTCGGTGGGATATTCAGCAACGCCTGCCACATCGATACGTCCAGGGCTTGCGGTGTCGACGCTGCGACGGCCGGCTCAAAATACGCCCGCATCACGTGCAGATCGGATGCGTAGTGGACTTCGTAAATGCCAAGAAGCGCGCAAAGAATCTTGTCAATGTGGTCGTCGAGGTAGTGCGTCGCCAGCACGTGGATCATCTTGGCGTGCATGCGAAGGATGCCGTGTTCGATGTTGCGGTTGTTCAGGACGAGTTCGGCCAAAATGATGCTGAGGAGGGTGTCCCGGTCAAACAAGATCGGGTCGTGGTCGAGCCACAGCGCAATGTCGAAGCGGTCGAGGAGCTGGAGACGATCCGTCGGCTCCAAGTGCTCCGTTTCGTACATGATGTTGGCGAAGTACTCGACAAACCGCGTGGGGGTTTGGTTTGGAAAAAAGCAGTCGGCTAGCAAGCAGACGCGGGCGGCGTCCTGTAGCATGAACCGCAGCAATCCGCTCGTTTCGTCCGCGTCAACCTTGATGAATGCCATACCGAGCGACTTAATGCTGCGCCAGAGCACTTCTTGGAACGGCGGAAATCGCCGCGTTTGCTTCGAGTCGAGCTGCACGAGCGCGTGAAACCACTTGACTCCGACCTCCTTGTACTGTTCGGACGCCGCCGTCAACTGGTGCACCATTTGGTCCATGAGAAGGATCTGGTAGCACACTTGGGCGTCAAGCGATGTCAGCTGGAGGTACAGCGGTCGCTCCATCATGGCTTGGACCGGCAACGACGTCCACAAGTCAAACTTGGCGCATTGCACGCGAAACTGGTCGAGGCGCTCCTGCCGGTTCGTATCCACCGTCCATTCCGTGTACTCCAAATGGAGCGCGCTCGGACGTTTGCATGGCTGGTTGGGACCGTTGCCATCGCAGGGGCGGCTCGTGTGGATCACGCGGTGTTTTGGCTGGTACAATCCGCTCAAGTGATCGAGGAACTCGGTCTCGAGGGTCACAAGCTGCGCCAACACGTCCGTGTACACCATGGCTCGATCGCAGAATGGCTCGACACTGAGCTGGAGCGACCGAATGTTGTCTTCCTTGACGACGGGAGAAAATCGAAAGTACTTTGGGGCGTGAAACGGAAGCCGTGCGATGGGCGGCACACTGCCAGTGGATGCATTTTCCGTGGGTTTCGACGGCGACGGGACAGACTGCTCCACGTCCGCGGGCTTGGAAAAGTCGCACAAGTGCAGCCACAGGAACGGCGCAATGTCTTCCCAGATCGTCTTGGTGTGCATGTCGATGGCGTCGCTCGTATGCAATAGCACTTTGCTCAGCCCCAAGATTTGCTTCAAATAGTCGGTGTTGTAGTGGCTCGGGAGGTGGTTCAACTGGGTTAGCCAGCTCGCCACGTCGGGATTCTCGAGCCACGTGTCCATGCCAGCGTAGATGCGGGCGAGGTCCCCCACGACAGGGTTGATGGTGCTGGTTTGGTGCATCACTTTGCTCGAATACGCGTTGGAAAGCGTCCGGCACTTGGTTTGAAGCGCCTTGCGGGTCTTGGGCTCGAGATCGAGCATCATATACCCAAAGCACTCGGACCCGACCGACGCAAAGTAGAGGGCAAAGAATAGTTGCCACAAGAGGAGGTCGACGGGATGGTCGCTGAGCACGAGAAACGACGCGACTTTAAACAGCTTGAGCCCGGTCCACTGCTGGAATTGCAAGTCCACATGGCCGTACAAAGTCGGTTGCGATGTATCGATGCCAAACACGTAGAGCTCGGTGGCGAGGCGGCCTTTCGCGCGCAGGGTGTCGAGGCTCTTGAGTTTGAGCTTGGATTTCAGGACAATGTGGCCGAGCGCTTTGAACAGTTCCTTCTCCTTGCGGACTTCGATGACGAGGGAGAGAAACGCGAGGTACATTTCCTTGGGCTTGGCGTCCCCAAAGACAAAGCTTGTATAAGTTGAGTACGTGGCCGACACAAAGCTGAGCGAGCTCGTGGGGAACGTGGTGCACATGTGGTCGAGATAGAGGCGGAAGGGGGTTTCGATCTCGGGCATCGTGTCGGGACGATGGACCATGGCGCACTCGATCAACGTGTCAACCAGTTCGCGGTACACGGACGCGTCGGACCACTTTGGGATGCCAAGAAGCACAACGAGCCAAAAGAGCAGCACGTTGCTGTTGTGATTCGTTTGCATGTACTGGCGCTGGATGAGCCGGACGAGGTCGGGGAGGTACGTCTGTGGCTGCTTCAGCACGGCCGTTTTGAGCCCGACAAAGGTCGACACGGCCGATTGCATCCATGACGTGGACGGAAGTTGGTCGAGCAGCGCCGGTAGGACGGCCGGGTGGAAGCACAGGCTTTGCTCAAGCGTTGATACGACAACGGGAAGGACTTGGTTGAGGGGCATGCTGCCGTCTCGGTCGGCCAGGCACTGCTGGACCAGCGCCGACTTGTCGGCGTCTGGAACAAAGTACAAGTTCTTGTGCAGGAGCTTCACAACGCTGCGCCAGTCAAGGTTGTGCTCCATGTAATTCTTGATAAACTTGTGGACGTCGTCCTGCGTCAAGACAGCTTGTGACAAGGTCGGGAGGATATTTTCAAGCACTTGGAGGACTGCGACAGGTCGTTTGTGGTCGAGAAGCAGCGACAGAAGCGGCGCAAACTTGTCAATGCACGTCGAGTACAAGTGATCGGTCAGTTGGCACACTGCATAGAGCACAATGGGCTCCATTTGGTGTAGAGGCACAACAGGATCGTCGGCACTGGTGTCGTCGCCTTCAGGGTCGTGCAAGTGAACTCCCGTCGAAAGCGCTGTGGCTGACGTGGATGCGTCCACAAATGCAATGCAACTCTTGAGGTCCAGGGTGTACTCTGCCTTCCCGAGCACGATGTGGGACTTGGGGAGGCTTGTCGTGTACCGCCGTAAGATCATGGCATCTTTGGTCAAGTCCGATTCGAGATGGATGAGTTTCAAATACGGCTGGTACGTCGCAGTGGAATAGAAGTGCAGCTTGAGCATGACGGTCCAGCTCCACGACGAAAAGTCGACGGCGACGAGTCGACTGCCCCACGTGGCTTGGCTTGCGTGATGCATCGTGGCATCGACCAGCATCAGCGCAACTTGGCGGTGGACTGTGGGGTGCAGCGCCAGGACAGCCTCCCCTGAATGGTAGTCCCAGTTCAAGTTTTCCAGAATCGTGCGGACGAGGGCGCTCTTCTTGTCGGACAAGTTGTCCAGCATGAGCCACGCCTGGAACACATTGAGATCAGCCGCACTGGGGTGCCACAACTGGATGGGCAGTCGAGGGAAGAGAGCGATCGCGGCATCGTGTTGCCCAACGAGTGCGAGGAGCTGGGACATGGCCGTCGGGTGAGCTGTGCAAACCACCGTGAGCACACGAACGTGGGCTTCAAACAGCGCTTCGTGCGTCGCCATGAAGCAGAGAAAGATTTCGTGAACGATCGTCTGGACGAGCTCGCTCCATTCCGTGTGGCTAGCAAGGACCCCCACCGCCTGAAGCAGCGCATCATTTCGAGACACTTCATGGTACAGCCGCGTACGGAGCGTCGGGTTTTCCGCCAAGAAGCACTGAAACTGAACGTACGTCTTGAGCGTCGGGGGAAGATACGGCTGGAAGAAGAAAGCCGAGAGCGCATCCCACTTGCCGCCGGGACTGAGGGCGTAATAGCACCACGAAGGCAGGCTGCTGTACACTTTGTGGCTGCGGGCCATAACTACACCAAACAATCCGATCTGGAACAGTTGATCAAAGAGCGACCCACGGGACGCCACGGCGGCCGTTTGCAGGATCGCTCCGAGACTTTCCGACACGGCAGTCACCAGGCCATCGTAATCTGCAAACTTTTCAAACACGACCGTGCATTCGTTGACCAGATACAGCAGACGGCTGTACGCGGCGTGGTGGGGAAGCCCCGTGCAGTGAGCGAGGGCGGTCTCGAGGGGGAATTGTCGCCACAGAAGGACGTAGTCGGCGTCCAATACGGAGAGCTCTCCTTGGGACGGGGGCTCTATCAGCAGCCACTCGTCTGGGGGGGTGTCGGCGTTCTCGGTAGAGTTGTCAGCGTATTGCATGGGCAGGACAGACGGGTGGAAGAGTAAATGCGTCATCGCGAGAAAGTGGTCGAGGGTGACTTCGTCCCACGTGTCTCGATCGGGGAATTGGAGAAAGCTCACGGCCCACTGCCGCTCGACTGCCAGACCTGGCATGTGCAGCAGATGCGTCAATAGCCACGGCACCACTTCTTTCGATCGACTCGCCGAGTTTGAGTGCAATTTTGCCATCGATCGCGTGAGCCAGTGCTGCACACTTCGTCGGACTTGGGCGATCGCGCCTTGAAACTCTTTGGACGAGAGCGCGATCGTGGTCTGGGGCACAAAGCACAGCGCGTCACATCGCGCGCACGCAACGACTCGCGCGCTTCCTTCCAGCGCCGTCAAGTTGCCGCACGCGTGGCACAAGAGCGACTTGGAGTGATTCTTGTCCATGACGAGCTGTCCGCGACGGACCGAAGTTGGCACGGTCCCAACGAACCGCGGCTGCGTCAAGTTCTTTTCAAAGAAGAAGAGGGTGTCCATGAGTGCTTGAATGGCAGCGACATCGCCGCCATCGATCACTTGATCCACTGCCTGTTCAATGCGGAGGTAGCTCAGCGCTCGGTCATATAGATGGAGCGCGGCCTCGGCGGTGCGCTGTTGTCGCAGGTGCGTCAACTGGGTTGCCAGGGCCACTTGCAGGTCGTGGTTCATGCTGGCAGTCTGGTACTCCACAGATTCTTCAATACTTTTCAAATCTCCGCAGAGGGCAGTCGTCGATGCCGTGTCAAAGTCAATTGTCCACACTACAGTCATGATGTCATCGTGTGAGTTCCAGGGGAAGCCAACGCACCGTTCGCGCGGCGCTCGTCGACGTCGGCAACGCGCTGGACGAGCTGAACATGGGCCTGCCGCAGTGCATGCTCGAAATGGAGGTAGGCCTCGACGAGGCGGTAAAAGTCGTCGGGCGTCGTCTCGATCGTACGAAGGCGCTCTTCGAAGTGCCGCAGCGAGTCGTCGCGGAGATGGACGTGGTCGTCGTAGTGCTCGAAGCGCTGCAACGGAACGCGCGGAAGCTCTTGCAGGGGCACGAGAGGTGCTTCGATGTATTGCGCCGGGATTGGGGGAGCTTGGGTTATGCGATTCGACTGAGGGAGCACGATTGGCTTGAGCTGGGCGAGGACGGGATAGACTGGAGCTGTGAGGTGCATTCGAGATGCCTTGGAAGGTACGAGGAGGTCGGCAACCGAAGACATTGTCACGGACGCGGGAGGCAGCGTGTACTTTTTCTCGACCGGGCGAGCAGTCTGCGTCGCTAGAACGGGCGACGAGTCGGGCGACTCACCATTGAGCAAGGTCGTTACGGGGGCAGTGGTTGCGTGGGTTCTTTCGGTCGACGATGGCGGTGGATTCTCTCCCGTCAAGGAGAACCCGTCAAGATGTCGCATCTGCGACGGGAGAACCGTCATCGATGGGGTCATCGGACTCCCCATCATGATGGCTTCCCAGTGGTCAAGTTGCTCGTTTCGTTTGCTATCTCTCAGGATATCGATGTCTGGCGCGCTTGGAGTCACAGGACTCGGCCCGCTGTCGTTGAAGTCTTCCATTAGAAGCAAGTCGTCCGACGAAACGTGAATCTTGACGGGACTTGTCTGTTGTGCCATGCTTCCGTCCTGCGTGCCGGAGGACGTTCCTCCATTGCCACGGTAAGGTGCACCGCTTGCGACCAGCGGATGCTCCGGAAGTTCTTGCAGCGGCCGCTGCTTTGGCTTGGCCTTCTTCCGCACGAGCGTCGCCATGGTTGTTGCGCTGAAAGTTGCGAGAATGCAGAACCGTTTTCCCGAGCAATTGAATCGTTTTATATTATTATCTGGCTCTTTGTACCGAGTACAATGAAAAATTTTCACCGTTGGCGGTCGACATACATTCCTCGGTAGATCCAAAGAAGGCGACATGCCGCCGCGACACGGCGGCATGTCCATCGGGCTGGCAGAGTTCATGCTACCGGTGGCGCAATGGAATGTTCTCGCAGAT